CGGGGGAGGTTCTGGGGCATCTTTCCTCGCACAGGAGGGAGGATTGGGGTGGACGCCATTCCGTCTGCTTCAACCACCGGGCGTCCCTGGTGCTGCCAGCTGCTGTTCCGAGGTGGCAGCCCATCAGTGGTGAGAAGGGGGCATCACCACAACCAGCATTCCTTATGTGCTGCAATAAGGCCACTGCACCGGCCAGTGGCTGGGCTGCCAAGTCTGTGCCGTTGCCATGGCCTTGGGTGCCCATTCGTACCAGTGCTGACTAGGCAAGGGGCTGAACTGGGTTTCCATGCCGGAGGAATCCCCTTCCGGTGACCACAGTGGGGCCTGGGTCTATTTGCTGACCATCACTGTTGGGGACTGGTGCACGGAACGAGATAATCAGTGCTGGTACCGAGGGGACTGGAGACACGACAGGGAGCACTCCTACGATGGAGCCGACTGGGATGTGAGCGGCGTTGATAATACGGAGACCGGTGTCTTGCTCTAAGCGATCTGTGTCAAGATGGCAGCAACTACGAACGCAGTGCTGGTGACCGAGGGCGAGCCCCCGAGCATCTGGGCTGCAACTCCGGCGCAGAGGTAGAGAGCACTGCTTCATCTCGGGGGATCAGTGGCGCTCCATTGCCCTCTGAGGGGTCTTAGCGGCTAGCTTACCCTCGTGGGGAGCCTTTGCTGGTTCCTGGGGCGCATCAGTGGCGTGGGCAGAGGCCTGTGTTCTCTCGGTGCCAGGGGAGACTATGAAGGTGTCGGTGCCACCAGGGCTTTTGATTCCATGCCGCTCCCAGGAGTCCGTACTGTTGGGGAGGTGCAAGCATGCAGCTCTGGAGTGGCCAGGGATCCCTAAGTGGGTCCTTTGCCCAATGGTCCAGGGCCCTTTTTGCTTGGTGCTCGGGTTTTAGTCTTCTTTTTGGGCACTGGTGACAGGGAACAATGACGGGCAGAGTGTGGTGCCGGGGGCGCACTGCGCACCGAGGCCAAGGTATTTGGCGAGTCCTGGTGGGGCTGCACAGAGGCCAGACACAGGGTGGACTCCAGGAGGAGAGCCTGTAGCCAAATATCCCTTCTTCTGTGTGCGGGGCTGGAAGTTCTTACAAATTTGGCACTTGTCTCTAACGTGTGACTCTCCTAAGTATTTGAGGCAGCTGCTATGGGGGTCACTTATAGGCATAGGCCTGTTGCAGTCCGTGCAGGGCTTAAACCCAGGAGACCAGGGCATGTCCCGCCTGGGACAAAGTCCCTGCTGGGAACTAACTACTATGAACAGAACTATTTACAAAGCCCTAAGGGTCAAAGACAGTAGACGGAAACTGCTAGCCCTTGCAACGCAAGTGAAGGCGCTCAGACTAACCACCATGGGCAGTAAGAACAAACAGAGAGGGCGTAGGGTCAGCAGCGCCTTATATACCAGTGCATGAGAGTGGCACTCAAGGGGGCACCACTGCTGACCCTACAGATACTGCTAAGGTAAAAATCTTCTGAGGGCACAGGCACACGTAGAATCGCATCACCATGAGCAAGCACTTGAAGAACTACTAACTATTAATGGTAATGTAACAACAATTCTTGAAAAAGGCTCCACTGGCGATCCTGGCAATTACAGTGCCTAACATCAGTACTAGGTAAATTGGTTGAAACGATATAGTAACAAAGAGAATTATCAGACACATAAATGAACACAATTTGTTGAGGAAGTGTCAACATGGCTTTTATAAAGGGAACTCATGCCTCACCAATCTTCTAGAATTCTTTGAGGGGGTTAACAAGCATGTGGCCAAGGGTGATCCAGTGGATACAGTGTACTTAGACTTTCAGAAAGCTTTTGGCAAGGTGTTTCACCAAAGGCTCTTAAGCAAACTAAGCAGTCATGGGATAAGAGGAAAGGTCCTCTCGTGGATCAGTAACTGGTTAAAAGACAGGAAACAAAGAGTAGGAATAAATGGTCAGTTTTCACAGTGGAGAGAAGTAAATAGTGGGGTCCCCCAGGGATATGTACTGGGACCAATGCTGTTCAAAATATTCATAAATGCTCTGGAAAAAGGGGTAAACAGTGAGGTGGTAAAGTTTGCACATGATACAAAATTACTCAAGATAGTTAAATCCAGAGCAGACTGTGAAGAGTTACAAAGGGATCTCACGAAACTGGGTGACTGGGCAACAAAATGACAGATGAAAGCCAATGTTAATAAGTGCAAAGTAATGTACATTGGAAAACATAATCCCAACTATATGTATAAAATGATGGGGTCCAAATTAGCTGTTACCACTCAAGACAGAGATATTGGAGTCTGTAGCGGGGCGGTCACCCCGCTCCAGTCAGAAAGGGGTTAAAACCAGCTCTGGGAAAGGGCTGCCTCAAAGGCCAATCAGGGGGAGGGCCGGTAGCAGCCAATACGGGCCCAAGAGGCCTAGTATAAAAAGGGCTGTGAGCTAGAAGGCAGGCAGTCTCATTCCAGCCTTGGGGTGGGAAGGAGTGGGCTGCCTGGGAGCATGGGGTACCTTCAACAGAGCAGTGCTGGAGAGTTCAGGCCTGGCAACCTCCTAGGCTGAGGCGTGACAGGAAGGCCTAAGGAGATACTGGGGCTGCAGGCAGGGCCGGCTCCAGGCACCAGCCCACCAAGCCTGGGGAGAGCGGGGCCAAGGCCGGGCTCGCCGCCCTCCCCCCGGCGCTCTGGCTGCCCTCCCCCCCCGGCGCCCTCTCCCCGGCCGCCGGGGGGAGAGCGGAGCCCCTGCCGGGGCTCGCCGCCCTCCTCCCAGGGCTCCGGCCCCCCTCCCCCCGGGGGGAGAGCGGAGCGCCCACCGGGGCTCGCCGCCCTCCCCCCGGCCGCCGGCGGCTTTTTTGCCTGGGGCGGCAAAAAAGCCAGAGCCGGCCCTGGCTGCAGGGAAAGGCAGCAGGTCCAAGCCCCTAGCCAATGATGAGTGGCCATTGCAAACTGCAGTTTGCCCCTGAATAAAGGAGCTAGATGAGGACTGGCAGTGGGTCACTGAGGCAAGATGGGCTCAAGCGAGTGGGGTTTCCTGGGTGAAGTGCAGCACCCCAAGGTAAGGGGCACCATGGTCCAGGAGGGACATAGGGCCTACACATGGTGGAGATAAAGGGACTGCAGAGGGGCAGATAACCGAGGGCGAGATACCGGACTATAGAGGGCTCCAGGGCTGAGAAAGCTAATTCCCAGGATGGCCAGCAGGAGGCGCCATGGTGGTGAGTCAGCGCTCTGCTACAGAGTCATTGTGGACAGTTCTCTGAAAACATCCACTGAATGTGCAGAGGCAGTCAAAAAAGCTAACAAAGTTAGGAACCATTAGGAAAGGGATAGATAATAAGACAGTAAATATCTTAATGACACTATATAAAGTCTTGATATGCCTACACTTTGAATATGGCATGCAGTTCTGGTCACCACATCTCAAAGATATATTAGAATTAGAAAAGGTACAGAGAAGGGCAACAAAAATGATTAGGGATATGGAACAGCTTGGAAAAGAGACGACTAAGGGGGAATACAATAGAGGTCTATGAAATCATGAATGGTGTGGAGAAAGTGAGTGAGGAAGTGTTATTTACCCCTTCACGTAACACAAGAACTAGGAGCCACTCACTGAAATTAATAGGCAGCAGTTTAAAACAAATGTAAGGAGTACTTCTTTACACAATGCACAGTCAACCTATTGAACTTGTCGCCAGAGGATGTTGTGAAGGCCAAAAGTATAACTGGGTTAAAAAAAAAAATTGATATGTTCATGGAGGATAGGTCTACCAATGGCTATTAACCAAGATGGTCATGGATGCAATCCCATGCTCTGGATGTTCATAAGCCATTGGCTGCCAGATACTGGGACTGAATGACAGCGGATGGATCACTCGATAATTGCCCTGTTCTGTTCATTCACTCTAAAGCATCTGGGAATTGGCCACTGTCAGAAGACAGGATATTGGGCTAGATGGACCATTGGACTGACCCAATATGGTTGTTTTTATGTTCTTAATAATTTATATATTCTGGGCATTGATAAGAATTTTGAACAGGGAAACTTATATTATATATTTTCATACATACATGGGTTAAATATTAGTGTGTGTAGAGTATGGGCCAAATTATCCATTCCTCCTTTTCTGCAGTAGGCATAACACCAAAAGTAAGAACGATTCCACTTACCAAAACCTTTTTGAACTTTGGAACTCAAAAATTCCTCATCCCTGAACCTTGATAACTCACAAATCCTAGCAAAACATATGCCAAATCTTAAACTAATTGTAAGTATAAAAAACAATTCTTCCTCCATCTCCCTGGTCTACACTAATGTGTGTGTATGTTCTTAATAATTTATATATTCTGGGCATTGATAAGAATTTTGAACAGAGAAACTTGGCTGTATATTTGAGTAATTGTGTCCTAGCAAATTTCACATGAAAAGCCTCCTCCACAAAATCACTTAAGAATTAGCCTTACTGAGAGCCATACATAGTACAGTATGTGAATCCCTCAGATTAAATAAAACCCCAGGATTCTAAAAAAGCATGACCTAGTGGTTTTCTGGAATATAATTGTGAACATGTCAACATCTATTCTGATTATACTGCAAACCTCTAAAACAGGCACAAAAGTTTCTCTACCATGAAAATAGAACTGAAAAGCCTAGAGCTCCATGCAGCTGTTTTGTGTCCAACACAGCTATTAATATCTTGAAGTAGACAATGTTATATCCTTTGCTGCCCTAAAGGATACACAGTGGAATCCTTCTTACTTTTGATGTTATGCCTACTGCAGAAAAGGAGGACTGGATAATTTGGCATACACTCTACACACAATAATATTCAGCCCAGGTATGTATGAAAATATATTCATGTCAAACTATACATCAATAATTTACTGTATCAACAACCTACAGAGTTTCCTGTAGGCTTCTGCAGCATGGCAGCTGGCTGGAGATTTCTCTTGACCTTTAGATTGGCAGCAGCTGTGATAGTTTTATATAGTTATGTACAAATTTCTAATACAAACCAGCAGAAGAGATGCCCTTTTCCACAATCTACGGCAGGGGCTCTTAGCAATGGGAAGTTAAGTGTGTCTGAACCAGTTGTATTTGATCCTTGTCTTGTTAGCTTGACTGCTCTTTCACAGGCTCGTATAGGACACCATTTAATAGCAGGATTATTTTCAACAAAGGCCTGAAAAGAGGAAAAAAGGAGAAGAAAATTACTTAACATTTGGGAATAGATCCTCATCACTGATATGAACTGTAACCTTTGATCACAATTTGCCTCTGACGGAGCAAAGCCAAAGAACATAAGATAGTCTTGTAATTAAACCAGTATGGTATTTTAAAAATAGTTATAAATAGAGAATTATTTAATCACTAGCTCAAAAATTGTATTTCTTCCCTATAGCAATACTTAAGATTCACACTAAGACCTGAACATCTACACTTATGCAAAATGCTTAATGTGTACAAGTCTCTTCTTTTGTGAAAAGATTTAGGGTTTGGCCACACATGAAAGTTAATTCAGAAAAAGATAGGGTGTAAATTTAAAATGGATTAACTGTTCCTGATTATCTCAACATATGGACACACTTATTCTGGAATAAAAGAGTACATTATTCCAAATGTAAGCGTGTTCACACATGGAGTTAATCAGGAATTGCTATTTTGGAATAATTTGCCATGTAGACAATACCTTACTGCAAATAATCATTATTTTTACAGATGTATTTAATATATAAACTTTGAAATTTTACAGTGCATAACTGTACTGCTGATTAAGAAATAAAACCTATGTTCTCTATCACCAATCTCAATATAATCAACTGCAATAAACTTTTAAGAACCAGAATAAAGAACTCAGAAATTTGCCTACATTTTTTTCTGTTAGTGTACAGTGTTTTCCCTTTTATTAATTATCTAAAATAAATTATGTGGAAGAAAAGGAACCTCTGGCTGCTCCCCTTCAAAATTGTACTGACTTGCATGTCACTCAGAAGGTGAGGCTATGAAGGACACTGGATCAAATCTGGGTATCAGTTTCCCACTTTGATATATAACATTTTATGACCTCATGCCAAAGTGACTTGTAACATATCTAAGTAAGTCCTTGTACTAAACATGTCTCTCCCCTCCCCACCCAGGGAATAATTTAACAAGTTATTTCAAGGATCCACACTACAGGCCAATAACCTGCATAGTTAATTAAAAGGTTACTTTTTAAAGATACATTCTGTAGCAATGGAGAAAATAAAATCAAGTATTAACCAAATCAAGATTTTCCAACTTCTTTTCCTGTCTGGGTTATATAGGAATCTTCTGAAAGTACGGGCTAGAGCAAAACTCTAGTGATGTGAATAGCAGGTACTGTACTGAGGTACAGTAGAAATTTCCCAGAAACCCTGAATGGAAATAGTAACTCATTTATCAAAACATTCTTCCAGAAACTAATTTAAAAACATTTTTTTATGATACGCCAACAAAATATTCTTGGCAGTTTAAAATCTAGGTGTTGCCTGTTCTGGACATTAATTTACAAATACCGAGAAAGATTATTAAATTGCCCACCACCGAAGCGTATTTTCTGTGCTTGAGGAAGAAATATAATTATTCCTTTTTAAAAAATATCCTCAACAGCATGCCATTACAACTGTATGTAAACTACATAGAGTTCAGATCTACAGTATTAATTTATTAAACTCTACTTAGAAAAGGTGCAGTCATATTTCACACAGAAGTTGCATTGTAATTGGAATAAGAAAGTCAGACACACTCTAGTCACACACGAACAGCTTGACAGTTTACCTTAATGTCAAACAGTAGGTATCTTTTGTCCATCTCCCTGGAAACCACGCTTTCTATGATCTCTACAGGAACAAGCTGGAAGCAATCATACGCTGGGCAAAAAATGTTGTGAGCCTCACCCTCCTGAATTTTCAGATTCAAAAACCTGCCAGAATTGTGTCAGTCAGAATTTGATAATAAAAAATAAATAAGTTAAGAAATTGATGTAAATTCATTGTCTTTATACTAACTTAATAAAATATACACTTTCATTTACATCTCTTTTTAAACCAAGAAATATGAATTGTCCCTTGTTTTTTACACTCAACAAGTACCTCAGATTTGAGGAGGCATTTGGTGAAGGAAAAAAAAAAAAAAAAAGAAGAGTCCACAAGTGAGCAACTGAAAAAAGTACTTGAATGTATGGGTGAATACCTGTCTCCCATTGACAAGGGCCCTCTGTACAATATTTAATAAAACTGAGCAAAATTTCTTATTAAGTCCCCAAAAGATGTATATAGCAGTACTTAATGTATGCACTAATTAGTCTGACAAGTAATTAGTTTTTACAATAAATAGCAATCCTTGTTCTTGTCAAAATACAGTTTGAAACATGTAAGAGCTTGATCTGAACAAATTGACAGTTAGCTAGACTAAATCAACTATAAGTCTTTGGAATGGCTACTTGTTCCCATCATCTATTAACTAGTACTTGAAATGAGACTCTGCTTGTGAGATCATAAAAAGATAGTCAAATTTAAGATTATTTAAGCCTATTGTAACTTAGGCTATGTCTATACATCAGATCCTCCTGTAACAATAGAGACATACACACACACAAAATGTTCCCCCAGGAGTAGAAAGTTAAAG